TGAGAAGTAAGCAGGAAAACTTCTTTGGAGTCTTTTCTCTCTAGGTGTGCATTAATTTGTCCAAAACGAATCTTCTAGCTATTACTTTAAAACACCCAATGTATTAGCAAATCTTCATTTATGCTTCAGTGATTCTTCGGAAGGAACCTCTAACTGCTCTGCTACAGTTAGTTCTTCGGCTAACGACCTTTCCTGCTAGGTGAGAATACTTCTTGACCAAATAAGTTACTGTACCACATGCCCAGTGAGAATATTAACTGCTCAGATAGATACAATTTTTAAAAGCATGCATTTGTTTAAATAACTTGAAGTAGACCATGAAGAAGATTTTTGTGTCTAGAACTTATTGTTTGATTTATTATTTATTTAATGTCTCCCTCCTACAGTAGGGTAATACGAGTTGCTCAAAATGGTCTTGCAGCATGTTTGAATAAATGTTAGGATTACCCCAAATAGACTTTTTAAAGCTCAAAAAAGCCCATGTTTCACTTAAAAATGTCCATGAATTACCCACAATGCATCTGTTCAGCATACCAATCTGTGTAAGTATTTCCCTTAAAAAAGAAAAGAAAACCCAAGAAATAAAGGCAATTGCTTATGTAAGCAATTTCAAAGTTAAATATTGTCTTAGAAGTACTGTGGATGGAAAACAGTTGCTTGGTACTGGATGATTAGTCCAGTGAGGTTAATTAGCAAGCTGTTCAGGTTTTGCAGGAGCCAAGAAGCAATGAGAGGTAATCCAAAGTTTGGATTGAATTATTCTGTCTCTTGTAGGGACTTGCAAATGGAGTTTACAAATCTCCAAGCATTGCAGAGTGGTAGGGGTTTTTTCTTCAGTAAATTGCTGTTTGGAAGCAATTTCAGCAGTACATTACAATGCTATGTTATAGCCGTGAGCCACCGAGTTATCGCTGGTAAGTGATCCTTCACAAGTCAAGAGCTGGATGTTTAATTGGCACTTCTGGGATTCTCATTTTGCGCTGTGTTTAGTCTCTAAGTTCGGGCCCATTTTCCAGGCCTTTTGACTCCTGTCCTGTGGATCTCTCTTGCTGATGAAAAAACGCATTGTGTTAAGGGATGTTCACCACGTATGCACTCAAAGCATATGAAAAATCTCTCTGTAAGTGGCACACATGGGACAGATTATTGCTTATAGCTCATGAGGAAGGCATGAAGAAGGTGCTGTTGGCTGGGTGTGTACATGCTACTCACCTGGGTGCTCTGGCACGGAGGGCATGCAGGTCCTACAGGAGAGCACTGAGCCAGTGCTGAGCAATGAGAAATTCCCAGGTGCTTCCAGCCTGGAGCCAGGGGAGCTGAGGAGCAGCTTGCTGGGATAGTGTGTGCTGGGAGAAAGGAAATACAGAGCCTATTCTTAGCTCTGCCCTCGATGTAAGATCTTAGCTGTGTCCAGCATTCCTGTTTGTAACTCTCTTTCCTGCCTCATCTGTCTGGTGTCTTCTGTGTACAATTTTTAGGTTTGCAACTAGCTTTCAATAGCCGTTTACCTAGAGCTGCTGATTGAAAGTGTAAGTTTCAGCTGATCTGCAGAGTTAGAAACCACCTTGTCTTGCCTGTCCATCACTGTTAATCAAGTATTGAGGGATGGGAGCCTGAAGCAGAGGAGTCTGGCTTGGATTTTCTTCTTCAATCTTGTTTTTTTTTCACTGTGGCTCCCCACACATTTTTCACTGTGGCTCCCCACACATTTTCATATTTCACTGTGGCTCCCCACACAGCTGTGACGAAAAGAGATTGTGAGGTAACTGCAGTACAGACTGGTGTTGTGCAACATCACTATAAAAAGATGAGAAAGAGACGCTGCACAACATCTTTTCATTACTTCATATATTTGCTATTAACATACATTGAAGCAATTGGATCTTTGCCTTGGCTGAGCTGCTGTCCTGGAAGACATGCTCAATGCTTCACCACTGGCCCTTCCTGTCGCTGTTAGTGGGCCTGAGAGGAACTGAGTTGGAGGTTTGTGTTCTTATGAATGAAAAATGGGCAAATAAATAGCAACGTGCTTTACCCAATCTCTGCTTATCAGATTGATTCTGACCTCACCCGAACTGCTCCCTTGGCCAGAACTCAAACTGCATATGTGGGAGGAGACAGACTTGCACCAGTGGTGCGTCAAACCAAACACTAATAGTACGTGTGCAAAGAATTATCGAAAGGATTGGTAAATTATGTGTTCAGAGAGGCCTTACACAGTTAAGACAAAGAATATCTCAGTGTTTTCGAAGCAAGAAACGAGACCTTTTTGTTCTTCTCCAGGCGGCAAGTAGCACTACAAGGGGTGTGTTGGCTGTTCGCTTGCTCCAGATTCTGAAAGGATGCTTGGTTTGCAAAATTTTCATCTCTCCTATTTAATTCCCCAGTTATGAATTCCATGTGAAACCTAGAAATCCTCTTGGTGAAGGTCCAAGTAGCAATGTTGTGGCGTTCAGTACTGAATCAGGTAAGAAATTCCAAAGGTCTGACCATCATTTACAGTGGCTGTAGTACGCATGATTGTGGGATATAGGAAAGGCTTTCTTGCTGCGTTTTGTGCATTTGGTCTTGCTCTTTACTATCTCCAGATTGGCTTTTTCCTACTAAGCATGTTACAGTAGTGCCAGGAAGGTCAGCCTGAGATCAGGGCTATACTGTGTGAGGACAGCAGAGACTCGGACTGCAGGAGGAAAAAACAGGAGCATAGAGAATTTGTCTGGTGTTCATTATGAAGAAACTAGCTTTCTCCTTAGGGAAGGAGAAGGCTCAGTCATTTAAGATTAATATTCCTGACCTTTTTTTGTCCATCAAACTCATTAACAACTTCAGGATGGGGAACGTAAGGTTTTCCTTTGGGCTGCTGTGTTTAAGGGCGCTTTTGCTACCTGTTCAGTAAGGCTGCTGTGTAACAGTGATGTCTTTTGTCTGACATAAGGATTGAGAAATAGCAGCTGGGAAAAGTCAATGTCCCATTATGTCCTCTTCCATCCTGTTTACTCTCCTGTGAAAGAGGTGTATACAAGCCTGTTTTGACCATTGGTTGATTCCCAAGTTAAGTCCTATCTGACTAAGAGGTGAGGCTCAGGGAGTGCCTTTGCTTTCCCTATTCCAGTTCCCCATGAGGCTAACTACGGTTGACTTGTTGACTTTATACAAGCAAGATACCATCTTTTGTGTAGAAGCGTTTATTGCTTAATAGTACTTCAGGACCATATAAAACACAAAATTGATTTAGCCTTTTTAAAAGAACTTTCTTAACCTGAGCCAGGTGTAATAATATAATAGTCCTCATCTAGTGCTGTCACTGATGGATGAGAGTTTTGGCTGAGCAAGGGATTAGTCAGGGAGGAGTTCAGACTGTGACACGCGTTTAAAAACTGTGAATACACTCTTTGTAATCCTAGATTGTTAAAACTGAAAAAAAAAATTATGCCAAGTGCAGTTTTCATGAATGACAAGGCTTATGTTCTGTCTCCTATTTAGCTTGGACAGATTAAACAGTCAGTTTTATTTTTTCTCAATTGCAAACATCCATTTCTTGCTTTTGGGCTTTCATAACTAAGTTTTGTGTGGCAGGTATTACAGAGGGGTCCTTTTTATTATTTAAGTTTCGAGACTGAAATTTTAAAAAAGATGCTGTAGAATTGGGTTTCAATGGTTACAGGTTTAAGCTCTGTAAGATGAATAAGCTACTTCACACTTTTTAAGTGAGTTAACAGCACAACTCAGAGGATACTGTTTACCTGCCATTGTGTTTGACTGGTGTTGTCCCATAAGAAAACTTCTTTAAAGGCTCATTGATACTGTAATTTCACATAAGAAATTCATTTTTTTCATTTAATTTAACACAAAAGTGAACTTTGCTTCCAAAACTCTTTCTGTTTCACAAATTACAGCTTATGTCAACTGTAGAAAATCAGTTACGAATGCTTTTCCGTTGAAATATTGGGTAAGTTCATTTTACAGTGACTGATTGAATGTTTGTTTTCTTTCCCCAGCGGACCCAAGAGTGAGTGAGCCAATTTCAAGTAAGCCTTTTATTTGTAGTATAGTGTCTTCTGATCAGGAGGTTTTTCAGAAATGAGATAGCATAATTTTATGAGGAGGGTGGCTGTACTGCACCAGTTAAACGAGTTCTAGACTCAGACAACGTTCACACATGATTTCACTCCTTCCACCCACACCCCTGGTAAGGAATTCATGCCAGGCTGCTTGTTCACCTGAGCGGAACGCAATCAACGTGATGTGGTGCTCCCCTGACAGCTGGGATGGCTTCAAACCAATGTACACAAATGAGCCAAGGACAGCCTCATATTTTCTCAGCCTTGTCATTAAAGCAAAAGAAAGCTCTGTAAGATGAATAAGCTACTTCACACTTTTATGTGAGTTAACAGCACAACTCAGAGGATACTGTTTACCTGCCATTGTGTTTTAGAAAAATTTTCTGCTTCTGAAGGCTTGATCCAGGTCTGCTTTAGGCCACTTATAAGGCTCTTGCTGTCTTTGAGATGGCAGGGGAGTTGGAACTAGATGGTCTTTGAGGTCCCTTCCAACCCCTAATCATTCCATGAGCCTATGATTCGGTGGGAGGTGGACTGAGCTTTTGAAGAACAGCTGAGATCACTCAAGCGAGTTGGGTTGCTTTTTGCATTTGTAATGGACGTCACTTTGACAAACACTTTGAGACACTGTTTCTTTCCACATAACTCATGACACTTAATTTTTAGGTCTGTTTTCTTTAAATCACATACAGTTTGCTGCAAGTTGACTGTCCTGGATCGAACCTGCTGAAGAACAGTGGCTGTATCACACACTTTGTAAATGAGAGTTTTGCCGACACACAGACGTTGATTGTCCCCCTAGCAAGGTCCTAGAATGAATTTGTTTCAGACTGACACCACACACAGGTTCATTTATTTTCCATTTATTTCTGGCTGAACATTGCCGCTCCCCACGTAGCAAGCCTAGTTCTCAGGACAGGAGCAAGCAGAGGCAATTTACTGCATCAATCATATGTGCACCCTTTGGTGCTTCTCAGAAATCTCTTTCGTGCTCAAAATGCAGGTGACTGGTGCTGTGGTACGTTCTGCTCCTTCAAGGTTTCTAATTCTATTTACCTGAATGTATTTGTTGTGCATAATTTTGTATGCAGCATCATACTTCAGCCTCCTTCTTCCTCTCCTGCAGTGGGAAAGGATGCTATCTGGACTGAAATCCCATTCAATTCGGACACCTATTCAGAATGCAAAGGGAAACAATACGTAAAGAGGACTTGGTATAAGAAGTTCGTGGGTGTGCAGCTGTGTAATTCTTTGAGATACAAGATATACCTCAGTGATTCACTTACAGGTGAGAGACGTTCAAGTCCATGTTGTCCACATTATGCACTCCTTAAAGATATCGTGGTTCCAGAACCTGAGGTTTAACAAGATGGGCTCTGCTGAATTGTGATCAGGTATGTTTAATCTAGTTCATAGAGTAATCATAAACATTAATCTTCTTGTGCTCAGTAATCATCGATGTGCTTGATACTGAATTTTCAGACTCAAGAGTTACTTCTCTGCGGTGATTATCTGACTTGCAGTACCTGTTAGTATCCCAGGGGTCATACAGAAAATTGATAAAGATCAGGTCTCTGCCAGCGAATAGCATATATTGTAAAGGTGCCAAATTTGTACTTAAAGGGCACTCTGGGATAGTTCTTCATTAGAGGATTAGGTCCTAATTTTAAACCAGGATTAGACTCATTCATTCCCATCCCATTGGGTAAACATCTGGTTACTTTGTTACTGTGACGCTTATAAATACATGGTTTCAACTCTAGTCAACAGGTTTTACTCACCTGCTTTGACATTTTTGTTTTTGTTTGTTTTTTTTTTTCACATTCTCCTGTGAATTATTTTCACATAGGCTGTTTATAATGTCTTCACCCTCCTCCCCCCTTTTTTTTTTCTTATACTATGTTTTGTCACTAACAGCAGCCTCTTGGCCTTATCTTCTCAAGTTTTGTTCAGTATGTTAAGGTCACTAGAGCGTGATGTATTTAAGACCTGAATCAAGTGACACATGCTGTGCGTAAGCTGGGGAGAAGCAGCCTTTGGAAAGTGGTTGTCAGTTAATTGATACTTAAGCAGAACCTCGTGTCTCATGGAGATTGCACAAGCTATATCTAGAAATATTTTGACTTCTTGTAATCCATCCTGAGCTCCTGGCTTTCTTCTGTATGAGGTCTTTTATCAGAGCTGCATAGACATCTCTTATCACAATGATGTTAGTGTGGCATCCAGAGTGCAAACAGAGCTGTGTATGGGAAATGTCTTTGAGTGCAGGTTGAGCAGTATGTTCATCACATTGGATTGAATTAACTAGGAGAAACGGTGGCTGAAAGAATCAGCTGTCATAACGCAAAGCTGCCCCATCTCGGAGCTCAGCACCTCGCAGGAGCAGGGCTGGGCTCTCTCTGTGTAGGAACACGGAGAGAAAAGAGCAGGGGAGTGTAGGGCAGCCCATGCCCATATAGTTTGAAGCTGCCCGGCCTCGCGCCCGGCACCGTTCTCCTGTGAGCAGACATGCAAGGAAAGCCCTGTCATTAGTAGTAAGTACAATACCTCCTATGTAAACAATGGCTTGGCGATTAGGTGAATAAAAAATAGTGTTTTGAACAGAGGTATCATTCATTCAGCTGTTGCTGAACTAACCAGCTGGGATCAAATGACAAACACTGGCAATGAGGCACAGTGTATCGCAAAACCAGCCAGTCGAGGAAATAGCAGTGCTAATCTAGCAGCACTAGACTTCACCCCTAAATCAAGTGAATTGACACTGCAGTGAAAGCTACTTCAATCTCAGAAGACAAGTTTAATATATCGGGAGCCCATTTTCCTATTTTCATTAGATTGTTTTTGTTCTTGCTGGAAGGGTGGTGATTTAACTTGGCTGGAGAAAGATGGTGGTAGCCACGTTGTATTCATTATACTTGCTAAGCCTGGTTCTTGCACTTGAGTTGTTGCAACCAGCGCTGACTAGTTGTCACAATATTTGAAAGAACTGAAATATTTATGTAGAAGGAGAGCTGCTCTTCCCCCGCTTCCTGAGTGAGCCCGTCATGGCACAGGCCCCGATATGTGAGTGAGAGAGTGTTCAAGTGAAGCCAAACTGTTCTGATGTGTTTCACTGTCACACCTTGTCTCACCGTCCCCCAAAGCCAGCAGAAGTGTGTCTGCCAGCACCAGCCAGCTGGGCAATGTGTGCCGAGGTCTGAGTTCCACCTTGCCCTGAAAATATCTCCCGAAGCTTCACTGTTTAAGTCACATAATGATCTTGAAATTTGGGTGTGCTGTACAAATGCTGTCATATAAGGCAGCCACCAGCCATATCTTTGCGTGCTTTTAGCAAGAATTTATACTTCTCGTGTTGCAGAATTCACAATGTATAAAACAAAGATGGCGTCTGATTTTCATAAGACCACCCATAAGGGAGCACTGGAAAAAAAAATTGACTTACTTTATGCCAGAATTGTTGTCCCAAAAGAGAAAAATGAATCCAGTCATTTGTTAACTAAATGTTTTTAAGTGTGTTCCTTTATTATGGAAAGAATTGGGCAGTAAGAATTTAATAGTCACTGAGAACGCTGCTAATTTATGCGTAGCAATTGTTTGAATTATGCATAGGTTACACTGTGGGCCAGAAGAGTGTGTGCATATCTGCAAGTTACTGTTCTTGTGTTAGCCATAAAAATATCTGGTTAATTCTGTTTCTCATGAAGAAAAACTGATCTGCGTTACACATGCCAGGACTGTTCTATAAACCAGCATCTACTGCTGACCTCATTTACAGTTCTCCAGAGCAGTCACTGTAGGCATTCCAGAAAAGCAGACCACCTAAAAAAAAAAAAAAGTATTTATTGAGGGGAGGAAAGAAATACATTCTAAGTGTGACCTTCAACAGCCATGGAAAAAAAAAAATGCTGTTTTGGGCAGCCTGAATGTTCTTAATTTCAGACCAAAAAATTGCTGAGAGGAACTCCCTCTGACCAGTTCTCCTATGGGAAAAACATGCCTGCAGCCAAAACTAGATAGTAATAAATAAATTTTCTGAAGCTAGAGAAGAACTACATGCACAGAGACCACGAACCAGAGGTGAGCATTTTTGGCAAAGTATTGATCACGTCACAAAATGAGGGAGTTTATTGGTAGGCTGCTCTTTTACTAATTGCATGTTAGGGAGCAGTATTACAAGCCACCTCGCCACCTCTCAAACAGCCAGACTGGCACAGATTCAAGGCTACAGGACACCCAACATCTAATGAGTAACTGGAGTTTCTGCTTAGCTTATGCCCGAGTACTGAACCTATTTCTAAATGCTCTCACCTTCCCTTTGAACCTCACAACCTAAGGATGAAGGTATTAAGAACAAATGCTGTGGAAGGAGTTTAGAAAAATACAGTAGGTTTATCTGAAAACCTTTCCTGCCAGGGCCTGGCAAGAGAAGGTAGCATACTTTCCTCCGTCTTCTGAACTGAATTTTACTAATGTCTTGCAAATCACATCAGTAAGGAAAAACATCTCTCTGTCAAAACTCCTTCACTGTGAGTCCTCTCGTTAACAGGGTAAGCACAGCCCCGAATGTCGGCACTCGCTGCACCGGGGCACTGGAGACCTGCTTTTCTACTCAGTTGCAGCCAAGCTCCTGTCCAGCAATCCTGCACACCGGTACACGGGCTCGCTCCGTGCTCTGGATAAGCACTTACTGCACCGAGGTCATCTGTTTGTTAAAGGATATCACTTGCACATACGTGTTGTAAAAATAAGATGATTTATAAAACAGGCCTTGGCTGCGTTATGAGGTGGGCTGTAAAAACAGCTTTGAAGGTACCAGGGGCTTCCAGACAGGGAACCAAACCTGCCCTCCAGTCAAACCACCAGCAAAGCTTACCTCATTTTGATACAGTCAGGATGAGGTTCTAGGTAATAACAGGATTTCACTCACTGCGTGAAAGGTAGAGAGGAGAAAAAAATACATTCAGGCATGGATTTTGGCCAGAAATGGGGCACTTTTTTCTGGAGCCACGGGCTCTGTCCTTGGAGAAGGCACATCATGTTCAAATTACAGCTACAGATCCTGAGAGGAAAAGAATCGTAGCATTCACCTTGGCTTCCCCATGGAGCGAAGAGCACAGCCCATTGCCTCTGGTGCTTTTTTGGAAATAACCCTCACTAAACTGGATATGGATTTTTCAACTTTGCTGTTTCTTTACTTTCAGGAAAATTTTATAACATAGGAGACCAGAGGGGCCATGGAGAAGATCACTGCCAATTTGTAGACTCGTTCTTAGATGGAAGGACAGGACAGCACGAAGATCTACCAGTCAAAGATGGTAATTCGTTACGCCTGTCTCCGTAGCAAACCTTGGTGATTTGTTTCTTTTCCTGCCAGTGGATTCAGCACCCACTGCTGGGGTGGGCAATGGAAAGGGGCTACCAGCTGTGCAGGCAGAAGAGGGTCAAAAAGTTTTTGAAGATGAGCAGTAACTTATTAAAAGAAGGTTATGACTCAGGTTCTGTTAGGTAGTAAACAGCCTCTCTCCTCTTTAGAACATTCCAACAGATTATTCACAGTTGGTATTACGTATTTGAACCCCACCACAAATTTGAGTTTGCAGAGAGGCATGAAGTGTTATGTTCAAACTAGCAAGGTTGATTTACGGTGCAGTAAATCACCAGTTGGGCATTAAACAGCTTTGTTTAGTGCTAATGAGAAACTAAAAAGTTATTACTGGAAAATACAATTCATGCTGCAGTAATTCTGCGTGCACTAATTTGAACCGGGTGCCTGGAATTCCAGTCTGGTCTAAGTGGGCATGGGGCTGGATGTCCCAAACGCAGCTGTGACCTGCCTGGATATTTTTCACATGTTGCTGAGGCTCAAGCATAAGAAAATGGTATCTCTGTCAGCTGAACTCCTGCCTTGCTTGTTTGCAGCAGTGCCAGCATGAGGTGTTCCGTTCCCGTGAGGCGTCAGAGCACGGGCTGTAGTGATACGTGCACGCCACGTGTGCCGTGGAATATTTTACTGAGAAAAATATCAAAACAGTTTTCAGTACAGTATCAGTGTATTGACCAAACCTTCCTGTCTGTAGTGCTCCATTAACAAAACACCTCACAGAAGTACTGAAATGCATCAAGGTAGGCATGGGAGATTACAGTGAAGTGCCTAAATCTTGCACGAGTTTTTCCAAAAACAAAGTAGGTGAATGATCTGACAGATGTTTGCTTATGTGGCTTTTATTTTTTTTTAAAGAGGACTTTGCTTTTTCTTTCCCAATCAGTGTTGCCCATTTGTAAAGGTATTTTGTTTGTGTAAGAAGTTGTCTAAATCCAATTTGGCATTGCCAGGACAGCAGACCTCTCAGTTGTACCAGATTCACTTTTTAAAAAAACATTTTATAAATTAAAAAAAAGAAAACTTTTACATAAAAAGCTTGCTACTCCAGCTTAAAATACATTTAAAACAGATCTGTTTTCAGCAACTGGATTTAATTCAGTGGATTCATGAGCTGTATTCATTTTTAGAAAAAACACAAAACAAAAAAAAAACACAACAAAACCAACAATCAAAACAAAACAAAAAAAAGCCCCACCTCTTCTGTAGCTTACATTTCTAGTAAATGAACTGAGCAGAGGAAAGAACAGATTGTCCATGGCTGCTCAGTTCCTCCCTGCCTGCAGCAAGTTGAATTCTGTTCAAACCTGAATTAACTACATATATTTGACCTGAAGTGCAGGGAGGGCATCGTGACTGCTGCTGTGGAGTAGTTGCAGAACAATAGAGTGTGTGAGTGTGTGTGTGTGTACATCTGTGTGACGCACACGCTTTAGCCACACGTGTTCCTGGTGATCAGGTTGGATTCAGCACTAATTGCTCACTCTGATTTTTAACTTAACGTTAGCTGTTTGAAAGGGAAGCATCTGTGGTGTCGTACAGCACAGATTTAAGGCAGGAGGTGTGATCTTTCGCCTGGGGATGGGCAGCTGGTGTGACACAGCCCCAGCTGGCAGGTGCTGTTTGGGTTCACTGGAGCATCCCGGCTGTGGCAGTGGGGACAGTTCAGTCACGGTAACTTTGCAAGCAGGAACAGCCTCCTGCTTAGAAGAGAAGCCAGAGGAGGCACGGGCCTCTCCCTGCCAGTGCCATCCATGGGTGGGTGGTGGGAACACCAGTCTTGCCTCGAGGGGCAGTTGTTTTGGGCCACTAATCAATGTTGGGGCAGCAAACCACCCTGTTCGTGGCAGATGGGTTAACAGCACCGTGACTACGGGTCAGCTGTTAACTGAACTGTACGCAGGTGTCATGGGGAATCAAAGGAAGGTCTCATCTGAGGGCTTCATGCAAACAAAACTCTCTTTGTTCCAGGATTTTTCAGGGCAGTTCGGCAGGAGCCTGTCAAATTTGGAAAAATAGGCGGGGAGACTCACATTAACTACGTTCGCTGGTACGAGTGTGGAACATCAATACCTGGGAAGTGGTAGATGCGACACAAACGTGGTGAAAAGGTCCCGCACTAACTGCCCCCTCCGCCTGCCCGACGCAGGCTCCAAGGTGGAAATGTTTATGGGATGCCTGGCACGTAAATAAGTTTGCTGATGTGCAAGGGTTTATGCAAGTCTAATGCCAATACTGCATTAATTGTGTAATAGCGTAGGCTGCTTACTGTAGTTATCCAGTTTTACAAATTTGTTTTTAGATTTTTTTTTTAAAAAAAAAAGCCAAACAGGCAAGGGACATGTTGTAGGATAATGCATAGGGAAGCTGGCTCCCTATTCCTGAGGTATGGTTTATATGGTATTTTAAAAGATACGGTGTGTATGTTATTTATCACAGTGTTGTAAGAAATGTTTAAGGCACAGTTACGGCAGAGCTGGTCGTGGAACGCAACGCGCATTAGTTTTTAAATATTCACTGGTCATCTTATAACACAAGTGCCATAAGCTACCTGTCCCGAGAGAGCTTAACGTCTCCCCCGTCCTAAATTATGGAAAAGACCCCGTAATTTTTAATATCCTGCAACCAGTACACTTGAAGCGTTTTCTCCTTACATGTACAAGCAGTCTGTGCTCCTGCCAAAACGCTGAGGTGGGCCGCTGCGCGTGCAGCTTTAAACCATCAGGTTCGTGGGTTTTTTCTATGTTTGTTTCCAAAGGCTTCAGCTCCAGCAAAACAGTATGTTCAGCCCATCGCTACGGAGTCAGAGCCGCTGCCCCAGCGGTGGGCAGTGGGTGGGTGGGTTTGGTTCCCTCCAGTTACAGCCGACAGGTACCGGTGTGAGTGGAACAAAAGAATGAAACTGGCCTCCGCTGCTGCCGCTTTTCATGGCAGTGTCAGGTCTCAGAGACTGAGGCTCACAAAATGTACGTACACTGCAGGAGGACTTGGAAAGATAAATGAAACAGGGAAAAATAAGCTACTTATAACAGCAGAATCCAGGTTTATTTTATTTAAAAAAAAAATAAGAAAAAAGTGGTTTAAAACATTGTTCATTGGGGACAAGGAGAAACAGCAATAACTGAACTTCAAAACTGCTTTACAGTAACTTTGATTAAAACCTCTCCCAAAGCTACTTGTTGTACTGCTTGAACATTTATGACCTAAATAAAGAGATGTAGTTTTTTTAAAAGGTGTTATTCGTTACGTTACTAATGTATTGAAAAAATATGAACAGGAACACCCATATATATATATAGTAGAAATAGTCATTTATAGAAAATGCCTTATAAAGTACATTGCAGGTACACTGTACTCCTAATAAAATATTTTTTAATCAAGTGTTTTTCTTAGTGTTTTACCTGAAAACACATCTTAGCTTCTGTGGCAAACGCCATTACTGCAGGAAGCAGTTTGTTCTGAAACAGGCACACGTCAAATGGTGAGATGAGCACTGGTCAAAGAGCGGAGTTACTCCAGCGCTGGACTGGGGCACGCGGCTGGTGCCGGAGCAGCAATATTTACGGATGCTGAAGGCTGGAATATTTCCACTCGCTTTATTTCCTAATTTGTCTTTATGGGAGTTCAAGCAGCCTGCTCCAGTTCTCTTTTATTATTTTTAATTCCCTACTTAGTTTTATGTATTCCTAGAATCCGTAAGATGGAAAATATTAACAGGGAGAATGTTTTGCCCTCTGCTGTTATATAGTCTGTTGAATTTGTTACAGCTCTTGATCTGCTTTTTCTTGGCTCGAAATCGAGTCACTAGAATTGCACTCCCAAGTTTTTCTGGGTGGCAAAGAACCCATGGAAAGTTGCTCCTTTTAAAGAACTCTTTTTAAAAAAAAAACCAACAGGTATTTGGCTTAAATTGCCAAGTAATAAAGCAATTCTCCCCCTGCCCTTGTTAAAGTAAAATTGGTACGAGGCTCTAAGATTTTATGTGTCGGTTCTCATTCACTTGGTAAAAGGGTTACGTGGAAATTAGTAACAGCAGCCAGTGCAAAACCACCCACTGCTGTGTCACCTCTGCAGAAGCCATCTGTCCTCACAACAGGTCTCCCTTGACACACCTAAAACATCCATCTCCTCGCCCACAGCCCCGAGCACCGCTGAGCTTCACCTCGGTATCCGTGCTCCCAGCACACATACCTGTCGTAGCACAGTCTTCTTGTTCAGTATCACCTAAATTCTAAAATCAAGATCAGGCATGTACTAGAGTCAGGGATTTTTTTATTAGTTTTCCATGTGAGCATTACAATTTATGATACACCATATCTAGTTTTAGCTCCAGAATGACCCTAATTTAGTACATCATGGTATTAGTAAAAACAAGCCTGGTCAGTGGGCTAAGCTTCCAGCTACCACCTTCGCATCCTTCCACCAAGGCAAGCTCGACTGTCAATCACTTTACAGACATTTAGGTAGTGTTTCCCAAAAACCACTCAGCCCCAAATTAAACTAGGAAGCAGATACGATTTAAAGCAGGACAGATCTGTTTGGTCGTTGCCCTCCCCCCGCGGAATTTAAGTAACAGCTATAGTTTCGCCTCAGAACAGTTTCAGAACCTCAACTGAAAATCCTGGAGTCTGCCTGGACGGAGCCGTGGGCGCCAGCGGCCCCTGCCCG